GAAAACACTGTCTGTTGGCTTAACTACTGCCAAAACTGTATTCCTCAATCTATCGTGACCAAAGCGAACATATTATCTTTAAACCCAAAACTTTACTTGCTTCCACAGCAGAATCCTTGAGAATCATCTTCCTCCATCATTTGACAGTTAGATCGGCTCTTTAGCAACCTTAAATTTGAGTTTGTCGTAAATACGGTCATAAATCACTTTCAGAATCAAATTTGGAGCAATCACTTGAAGATGTTGTTGTAGCAAAGTAAAATTGTTGTTTCTTCGTTAACTGCAACCAAAATTTACAGTGATGGAGTTTTAGTCTTGAAGTATTCCAAATATATTTTTCAAATTCAAACTTTGGGGTATATATATAGACCTCAAAACCTATAGTTGATTTGTTGCTGCAAATGGGACTGGTTAAAAAGATAGTCCAGCATCTAGAATTAGATGAAGGAAAAAGTTTATATAAGCTTGCAACCTTAAAATGTAGAATTATAGATGCACCTCCAAAATCTATCGAAAAAAATTGTTTTAAGTTCCAGAAATAGTGCATATTGCACCACATTATCTAGACCGTCTATTTTTAAGCTTTTCATATATTTATAGATCCACTTGATTTTAGCCATTTTTGGAGTTCAAAATTCTATAATTAGATATGAAAATAGATTTTCAAATAATTCTAAGAATTTTTTATACCAAAATTGTATGTTATAATAAAATTTGGAGGTGCACCTTAATTGGATTGTTTAAAGTTGCAACCTTATAAAAACCACACCCATAGATGAATTGTAGTGTGGAAGATGGGTGGAGGGGTTGAGACCGCAACCAAAACTATGGCCCTTTAAGTATGCCTAGAGCTCCGCGAACGGGTTTAGGTAGAAAATGTTGAATAATTATACTTGAACAATAAATCTACTTTAATACAAGCACAAAGGAAATTGAAGAGCTGGCCGTTAGCTATCAGAGAGAAAAGGCTCTTGGTCCGAATGGTTATCCATTGGTCTTCTTTCGCTCCTTTCAGGGTATCTTGAAAACTAATGTTGCTCTTTTTTATGGTTGATGGACAAAAAATAACAAAACAGTGAACACTTTCATCTCACTCATGGCCAATAAACCGATAATGGCGGAGTTACTGTCTTACCGGATATTCAACCCGCTCGTTTTCTTACTAGCTTGTATAAAATTATTGCTGAAGAGACGGCAAATCTCATAAAATCAGTCCTCCACCGTATTATCTCCAGAACTCAGTTGGCATTCCTGAATGATGACTAAATTGTGAATAATATCCTAATGGCCCTAGAGTGTAGTACTCTAAAGTCTAAACAACAGCAAGAAAATAAAATTTATTTTGAAAAGGCTTATAAAAAGGTGGATTAGAATTACCCTTTGATTGATGTAGGATGTGATATACATTCTTAATCACTGCAAATGTATTTTATATTTATGCAATTGCAGCCTTAGATATGATGGATTTTCAGATGCATAAATAGTGTAGAAGTGATAATATGCGAAGAATTAAAACAAACACTAAGAATAAAAAGTTCAAATGGATCATGTTTGATGTTTAAATACATTTATTATATTTTCATATCCATGATCATAGTGGTCGAGATTATCAACTTGTAAAATTTAGATTCAAAATTCTTTAATGAGATTGTTGGATTGTAGATGTCGGTTGAATTTAAACAGTTAGGTTGGCTAAAGCAAATATGCAACAAAACCAT